GTGTTCAGCATTGCTCCACCTTGGGCACAGAATCCAGTAATAGTAATTCCATACAGTAATTCCAAATGTGCCTGATGGTGCATCTACACAGATGCCTCTGCAAGGCCTGTTGTCCCTCCAGAGAGTCCACAGCACTCCCAATTCAGCAAGCTTGGTAATGGTGCATTCAACTCTTGCATCCAAGTCACTGATAAAAGTACTGAACAGCACCTCCTACCTATGAGCCCTGAGAAGCATCCCTGGCCACCAGTCACTGGCCCAGGGAGGGACCATTCACTAAAATTTGGGGCTCTCTCTCAAGAAGCTGTTGCTGTGGTTGTGTTGTTTTTTACTCACGATGGTCTTCTGTCAGCACAGGCGATTCTGTGTCGTTACAATGAAGAGAGTCAGAAACACACAGCCTTAAGCCTCAGTAAGGAGCACAACCCCACCCAGTATGAGGAGCGGATGCGGATACAGAAAGCTGGGGGAAACGTCAGGTGGGTGCCTGAGGGTGTCAGTGAGCTAATCTAAACCCTAGCCTAATTTTGGGCCTGAGCACTGAGGTTTTGAAGCTTCCTGAGCCTAATATGCATCCTAGTTGAGAGCTTGGAGAGAGTCTGTTGCTGCCTGTGGGAAGCACAGGGATGCTTGAGCCGTGTAAGGATTCAATTACTGGAGTTGGTTATGTGGGCTGGTTTCCCAGAGCCTTATGATGGCCAGGGCAGGACCCATGGGAAAGCCTGGCAGTGGGATACCAGCACACACAAGCTTGACATTCACATTTGGACCTATAGAGCTGGACTGGACTGTTGAAGGAGTTACTGCTTTCTGCACACTGTGACACTGAGCAGAATTCATTTCCTTGCAGCATGACTTCTTGCTCCTTGTCCTGTGAGAAGAGGGATTGTCTGAGAGAGCACAAAAAGCCCTTGATGTCAGTTGGTGTTGCTCCCCTGGGGTTAGCTGATGCACTGAGGCTGTCTGCAGTAGGAGGGAATTTTCTGGAGCCAAATGTGATTATTTTAATGCTCCTGTGTGAAAAGGAGTTCATGGCTCCTTTGGGGAGCTGGTGCCAAACACAGCAGCTGAGTCTTATTTCCCTGGCAAGGTTCTCTCCCTTCTTTGAAGGCTGTTTCTTGATTTAGTGGTGTCTTCACAAAGAGGGGATTCAGTGCAGGTGAAGTATCTTCATTCCTGTGGAGGCAAAATGCACCCAGGGTGGGGAGGGCTCAGGGTGGGCTCAGTTCTGTAATTCTGCCATGTCTGCAGCACTTTGTTCCCCTTATCTCTGCAGAGCACATGCTGCTGCTCACACTTAGCACTGATCTGTCTTTGCACTGGGCAAAGAGATGGCCCAGTGGCTGTTAGCTCTTTCCAGAACTGGTCTGTGACTACCTGGGAGCCTCTCCCACTACTTGTAGTTCAATATTTTGGACCCAAGAGATAAGTCATGAAGTACGTGAGCATCAGATCTCTTCTCTGTGACGTGCCTTGCTTCTTGCTTTTATCTCAAGCAAGGATGCTTGGACTATGAAATGAATGAGCTTTGTGTATTCCCAGAGGGCACAGAGGAGCCTTTTTGGGGAGAAGATGCTTGATGGTTGGAAAGGTGGAGTGTGGGAAGCTGTTTCTATAGGGAACTTGATTAATTAGAAAAGCTTAATAAACCAGAGCCATTTCCTCAGGGGCATTGTAGCTCAGGTTTCACTGAAGTGCTTGCTGCCATCGGTGGTTACTAAAGCCAGGTGATCAGGAGCTGAACATTCCGTGTTTCTTGCTCCTGGGAACTGCCCAAAGCTGAGCCACCCTGTCCTGATAGACAGGACACAGGAGGGACTGCTGGCCCAGACCTCTTGCCTCTGCCACTCTGCTTCTAGTGAAGAGCAGTTTGCTAGATATCTTGCCAAAAAGTAATCTCTGTATTCAAACTATGCCTCTGGGAGTTCAGCTCACATATAAGTCTTACTTCCCCAGTTTGCTAGGCTAAGCAGGACTGGAGTTAGGGCAGGGTGACAGAAAACAGCCTTGAAGTGTCCTGACCTCATTTCCTCCCCCTTGACCACTTGTTTCCCAGAGCTTCACACAAACACACAGAAAGGGAAGGAGACTTGAAAGGGGAGATTTGAACTCGCTGGGCAAGTGGGTCATTATTTGTATGAGGCAGATGGATGCAAAGATGTCCCCATCAGGCAGTGCAGTGAGATACACACGTGTGGGGAGGGCTCTCAGTGTTTTCTTTCCTTGTGCAGGGATGGAAGAGTCCTGGGAGTGCTGGAGGTTTCCCGCTCCATTGGGGATGGCCAGTACAAACGCTGTGGTGTTATCTCTGTGCCAGATATCAAACGCTGCCAACTCACACACAATGACAGGTAAAGTGTGCCCTTGCATGGGGGGTTGTCTGTCCCAGTGCTGCTCAGCACAAGCTGCCCAACCCTGTTTGCTCTGCTGTTAGAGCCCAGGCACTTCAGACTGATCCCCCCAGAACTAGAGGATGCTCTGACTGCTCATGTTTCTCTGCTCCTGTTCCTTGTTAGTACAGTGGATAAATGCTGCTTCTCTGCCAAGATACTGTGAAGGCTCCTCTTGGAGGAGCCACCCTCATAGCAATAGCATACATAAGCCTCAGATGTCCTTTGTGCTCTGATTAGGTTCATACACCAGTGTTCAAGCTATTAGTTAAGGCTTGAGTTCTTGGATCTCCATCCTGTCCAAGAGTTGTTTCTAGCAGCTGTAATGCCCATAAATACCTTTGCATTCGGCTCTGATATCTGAAAATTTGAGATAGTTTTCCATGATGTGATTGGCAACGACAAATTGCAGTAAGATTTTGTGTCAGTATGGCCCTGCAGATTCTCAGAGGTGAGAGTAACCCAGTACTGCTGCTTTTTCTGGGATTAGAGTTCCATATCAAGTGATCCACTAAAATATTTCTAAAGATATTCTTGAGTATCAGGCTCTGAAGTGATGTCAGGGTTGTCTGTGCAGGCTGACCATTAGGTTGGTCACAGTTTTCCTTGTCCTGGTGGCTCTGATTAGGGCTCCTGGTTAGTACAATTCCCTGTGCTGGCAGAGAGTGCAGAGCAGTCTCCCCAGTCCTCAGAGGGATCCTGTCCCTGCCTTGGCCTTTGTATCCCCTCACTTTCTGCAGCCTGTGGCAATACTTGGTGTCAATTTTTTAATCAGTTGTATCACTTGCTTTTCTTTTGAATTTAAGTATTTAAATTATCACATCCCTGGGGAGTGTAAGAATGTAAAGTGAGGTACATGAGGGATTAGCTATGTTTCTCTACTTCCTTGCATTAGCCACTTCACAGGAAAAGTATGTGAATGAAAAGGACTCAAAGAAAAGAAGCAGTTCTTCGAGAAGCAATGGAGCATTTGACCAGGATGTCCTATATGATCTTGCCAGTGTTGGTAGGAACACCAGGATGTCCTGATCTAGGTCTTACGTCAGTTGCCTGGCTCTTTGGCCTGTGTTCTAAATTGCCATGAATGGTAGTTTGTAAGGGATTTTCAGATGAGCTTTTAGGCATCTTCCCTTTGGATCAGAGCATGGATGGTCATAAAATAGATTGGAGGGATTTTGCTGTAGCTTGGGAGCCAAAAATTGGAACCTGTTTCCACTTGATTTCCAGGTTCATTCTGATAGCGTGTGATGGCCTCTTTAAAGTTTTTACACCAGAAGAAGCTGTGAACTTCATCGTGTCCTGCCTGGAGGTGAGGAGAAGGCAGCGTGGGGGCTGGGTTTGTTGGTGCAGATGGCATGGAATGGATTCTGCTGGGTACCCTCCCTTATTCCCATGGTTGTTTGTGTTTTATTTCCCTGTGCTTGGAAACCACAGTGTGCTTGTACCTACCTTTGCTGGGAGCAATCAGTGTCATCTTCCCTTGTCCCAACAGGATAAGAACATCCAGATGAGGGAAGGGAAGCTGGAAGCAGATGCTCGGTTTGAAGCTGCGTGTAACAGACTGGCCAACAAGGCAGTGCAGCGAGGGTCAGCTGACAATGTCACTGTCATGGTGGTGCGGATAGAACACTGAGGGATGAGGAGTGCTGGGTGCAAGGAAAGGGACAGATCCGTGTGCATGCATGTGTGGCTGGGGGAGGGTGGGTCCTGCTGGATGCTCTTCAGTGTAAATAAAGGTGTTTTTTTTCTAACAGTTCTAGCTCGCTTAGCTAGCAGGGCTGAATGTCTTGGCCAGCCCAGTAAGTCCATTTAGCAGGGCTGCTAGCCAGAGGCATCTGGTGGCATGAGCTCTGCCAGCTGTTCCACATGGGGCACTTCTGCTGTCCATATCCTTGAGCTTTGTGCAAGACTGGGAGAGTCCGGAGTGCCAGGACTCGGTGGGGGCTCCCAGACAGCCTGTACCATACAGACTGTGAGATACCCTACACCACCAGCTTGGGATGTGGGATGGGCTGTCCTCTTCACACTGGGTAGGAAATCTTTGGACTCAGAAGCTGGGCTGTGAGGTTGCCTGCAGCTGAGGGACACAAACACCTTTTGCAGAGCTGCAATGTACCTGCCCTGGGCTTGCAGAACATGTTGGGAGTTTTATCACAGTGTTGGGATGGGAAAAGTGGCTGGAATTTGCTGCCAATTGATTTTGGAAAAAGGGTTTTCACCAAATGGACTTGCCAGGCAGCTGAGCTACAGGCAGGCTCTGCTTGTCTGTGCTATCTGAGGAGAAGGCATCTCAAGTTTTAGGCACTAATAAGTGTCTGGTATCTCATCCTGTCATGATGCCTCTAACAGCTGTTGCTGCACTCAGTGTGCTTTTCTCTAGAGAAAGTCTGGCTTGAGACCAAATGACAGAATGAAAGCTAAATAGATTGGGCTACCTAAGGAGTTAAATTTCCAATTTCCTATCCTGTGTGAGTGGGGCAGTGAGGGAGGTGAGCTGAGTGTATAGTTCTCTGCTCTCCTTGCTCTGATGAGGCACAGTTGCAGTCCCAGGGGAAGTGGGCAAGGGTGGTGCTTGCTGTTCGTGCATAGCCCAGGGCTGTGAGGCTTCCCTGGCTCGTTTCTGTGTTTCTGCAACTTTGGGAGATGGTCCCAGATGCTGGGCTCTCTGTGTTCTGGAGGGACAGAAGCTGTGTTGTTGGGACAGGTGGCTTGACCATCGTACATCTATTTTGGCTCCAGCAGTAGTCAGTCACACTTCGTGGGTTAGGCTAAAGCAGCCTGGTGCACCCTGACTTTCTGCATCTCCTGCAGAGGACTGAGGAAGGAAGTGGGCCTCCAGCACAGATTTGGGGCAGTGTTTGTCCTCTGCCAGCTTGTTCTGCTCCCAGCCATTCCTGTGTGCTCTGATGTAAGGTTTGCACTGCAGGATGAATGGAGAGGGAATGCCTTTGTTGGCAGCACACTCTGCTGTTTCTACTCTTGAAAGGCAGATTTGGAGAGCCCAGACAGAGTGGCATGGAGTTGCTTCTGTTTGTGTCAAAAAAAACTCTGATGGCAGATTTCAGAAAGGTAACTTCCTGTCCCTTCTCACCTTCCCCTTTTTCCATCTCTTGCACTGGGCCATGCTGCAAGAGCTGAGCCAGGCTCCCAGGTCAGGGGCTCCTTCCAAGAGACCACTCTTGATTTCCAGTGCAAGAGCTGGTGACAGGTTAGCTTGTCCTCCTCTGTTTTCCCTCCCTCTCCCTCCTCTTAAAACGCTGCTTTTCTTCCTTTTAGGAAAAGTTCTAAAAGTTCTGAAAGCACAGCTCCAGCTAGGATCAGAATATGCAGTGTTATGGCACAGTTAGTAACAATTTATGTAAAATGTCCATTTTTTATGGCAAAGGGGAAAAGGAAGGGTTGGGAGTAACCAGACAGTTAGAAAAGCAGGCTCAGCCCCAGCTTTAGTGGAAGTAAAAAAAAAAAAATAAGGATTTGCTTTAATTTCCTGTTAAGACAGCATTCGCAGGACGTTTTCTGAAAAAGCACTCTCTTTGCCTCAGTGCTCAGCATCTTCCTGATGGGAGGTGTTGCCAGGGCCAAGTTCCTCAGCTGGGCAGGAGCTGCAGCAGCCTCACGTCTTTCAGGAGGCTGCTGCCCGCCTGATCAGCTGGGGGAGCAGCACAACTTTGCTTTCAGAGACAAGTTCTCTTTGCTTGGCAGGAGTCAGCACTGAAACTGGACAGCCAGAGACTGCCTCCCTCCTCCTCACATTCAAACACCCCTATCCATGAATTGCTGCGTTAACAACTGCTCCACCACACTCCTCTGCAGCCTGTGGAGAAGGGCAGGCAGGGCCAGGGAGATTCCTGGGATAAGGTGGGGCTAGGTACAGCTCGGGCTATCTTGCAGTGTTGCTGGCACTGCCAAGTGCTACTGAGAAATCAAACGCCCAAACCTTGCTGGGTCCTTCTCGCGCAGCCCTCGCTCGGTCACGTAGCCCTGTGCCCATCCTCAGCTATCTGTGCTGCCCACAGCCTGGGCCCCGTGCCACCGGCAGGGAGTGCCTGCTGGGGAAAGGCACAGGGCAGGAATTTGCTTTAATTGAACGTGAGGCATTATTGGGACTTTGCTTTGATGGTTCATGCACAGGATGTTGGCTTCTGCCAGCATTTGCTGCTCCTACCCTGAAGCAATTCAGAATCGGGCTGGGGCTGCTGAGACTGAGTCAGGCAGGGAGGGGAAGAACCACTAGGGGTAAAAATGGACCTGTGGGGCTTTGAACCAGGCACGGTGGGAGCTGAGTCCTGGGGGAAGGCAACCGTCTGCTGCCACTGTCAACAGTGTTTTCCAAAATAAACATCTAGGCCTAGCCTTTAGATAAAAGTGACTGCCTTTAGGTCCTGGTCAGGCTGCTTTATTATCATCACCATCATCATCTTCTTCATGATCTTTTGTCCATCTTCAGCTGGTTCTGCAGCAGCAGTGATACCAGACCAGCCTGCAGTTCCTGCATGAGCAAATGGTCCTCCTGAGGCTTGGTGCTAAGCTGGGGAGACACTGGGGGCTGGCAGAGGGAAGAGCCTGGCACAGGTGGCACAGGTTCAGCCTGGAGCCTCCTCACACTCCCAGCAGAACGGCACTGAAATCGGAGCCACTTTGAACGGTGAGGGGAGAGCCTGCTGTGTTGTCCAC